GCTTCCAGGCAGGGAAAGTCCTCGACTTATGACCGGTTGGGTAGTCCTCGACTTACGACAGGTTTAGTCCTCGACTTACGACCGGTTGGGGTCACGGCATTAAAAAGGTTGAGAACCACTGCTTTAAATGGTGTATATACAATACTACATTGAGTAATCTTGGAATAAATCTGGAGCAAGGAGGAAAGTCATGAATTATGATATTCTAGAAAGCTTCAGCCAATAAAAGAAACTGAAGATTTCTCTTTTTCCTTGCAGAGTTTCATACATATCAGTTTGGACAACAGAGTACAATGCCTACTTTTTAGATGCCAGGTGGGGAGAAAAAGGATAGACAACCGGTACAAATATTCCTTGAGAGCTATTTGCTTCAGGATTTTGGCTGGCCTTGAAGCTTTTACTTTTGAGACTTGCAGCTGAGAAAAAGGAACAGACTTGGGGGCTGCTTATCTCTGTGCCAGAGACGATAATATTATTCTAAAATTGGCCTGTCTGAACTATGAACACAAATACTGACTTTCAGAACTGTATTGTGGAACTATTTTCCTGTAGAAGAAACATACACTATTGCCTGATATGATGGAACACTTTGGATTATAAATCTTGATTGTTAAATAGCCTTTAATGGTTCTTTTTTCTCCCTGGACAGAAAGGATATTTTTCTCATTGGACAGAAAAATTTGAATTTTACTTATATCTGCTTAGGGGAGGTTTAAGAACGGCTAGTTGGTTGGATAAATTTATAAAGGCTACTTACAAAAAATAAAATGGATGTTCCATACTTAGTTCTAAATAGTAAAAAATCATCCTTAACATCTGTCTCCAGAAGCCTCAGTTTGCCATATCACCAAGAAAATACTGATGAACCACAGAAAGAAATTCTCTCCATGTTGAAATTAATACAAGAAACAATTGCTTTAGCTCGTGATGAGATTAAAAATAACACAAAAGAGATAAAAGAACAATTTTCTAATTTAAATCTACAAACTCAGAAAATAACTATAGAGAAGGAACCAGCAACCCAGAAAATAGAAGGAAAACTAGAGAATGCTGACACAAACATTGAGGATCTAAAGGAAGAAACTAATGACCAGACTCAGATAAATGAAGACTTAGAAGACACAACGATAATATTGGAAATGGAAAATACATTTTACAAACCAAGGTTTCAGAACATACTGGAGGATAAGGAAGGAGAGCTAAAATAAACCCGTTAACAGAACTTTGGGGAACTGGAGAAGGAGGGAGGCTGTTTAATGAATATCAACAGGCTAGTTCTTCCAAAAATACTTTAACTAAATTGTTTCTCTTGTCTCAAATAATATACACAAAAATAGAGGAAGAATTATTTGATTATCCAAATGCACTGACTTGGAAAGTTAGTTGGCAAAGGAAGAAAGCTAGAGTAAGACTGAAGGAAACAGAAGCTTTGATCTATTAGAGGAGATGCTACATTACCAATTAGATGTTTGAATATGGTTAAGAATAGATTGCTAGAAATAGAAGTATTATTATAACCAGATAGATAGGATTTGTAATCAGAATATCATATCTTGGTATGAAAAGGGAAATAAGAATATGCTAAGAACTTTGAATAAGGGAAGCTTTTGGTTACCCAAATATAACTTGTTCTGAAGTTATAAATGATTGGGATATTTTGAACATGGATGGGGAATTAAAATTTAAAAAAGTGAAAATAGGATATAGATTGAATAAATGGATATTGGGTGCAAATGCTATTAAGATATGCTTTGGTTAGAAAAGATATTCTAAACTGATATTATTGACACTAATTAGAAAAATGTAACAAATGTTGATAGGCAATTGTATATTTACTCACAACAATAAGAATTGTATTTGCTTAATGTGGAAAAATGTCTATTACCAGAAGAAGAGAGGATATACTGGAGGGTGTAATATTGGATTTAGTTTGAAGAAGCTTACATGTACCACGGAATCACTAATGGACTCAGTCATCATGTCATCTATTAGGCACTTGATTGTAAAAATAGAAAATTAATAAAATATTTATAAAAAAACAACAAAAAAAGAAATGGTAGTAATTTATCCACACACGTTCCCATTAAGCCATCCTTCCACACATTTGCTCCAGCACATTTCTCTTTGCCAGTCTCCTCTTTAACAATGCCACATCTTTACCTCTATATGCTGAAACATATATGGATGGTTGCAGATCTTCCGCAGCTGCATAATAGTGTTCATGAGCGTTTTTGTACCACCTTTGCCCTGCAAGAAAAAGTGTGAAAAATATTGAAGAAGGCAAACTATTTATAGCAGAAGTCCCCAACCTTTTGGGCACCAGTGACCGGTTCCATGGAGAAAGGTTTTTCCACGGACCAGAAGGTGCGTGGTTTTGTGTGCTGACCGCATCTTGCGGATGGGGCTTTGTTTGTTTGTGTGGACCGGTTGCTGGCATGCCACGGATCGGTACTGGTCCACAGACTGGGGGTTGGGGACCCCTGATTTATACCACACCTACATTGCCATGGGCCTCTTTCTTCTACACTGTTCAAACCACAGAGCAAATGTTGGACAGTTCTAGCTATATGTGTAGGACAACGAAAAAGGAACCAGACATGGGACATTCAATGTATTAAGCTTCGTTTCTGCAAAAGTTTTTTGTTTTAGGGTTGTCTTGTTTTGCTATTATTTGGGTGCGGCTGAAGTTCTCATCACATAAACTAAGCACATGAAGTATTTGAGGAAGGTGTATAAATCTGTATTAATTTTTTTATGGTCCACAAATTTCTTCTAAGAATCTCTTATCATATTGCACTCTCTATCCAGAAACATCATTTGAAAGGGATTTCATGGAGGATCTCAAAGAATGAATGCTACAGCCGGAGAACCCAACCACTTCAAATGTGGGGGCAAATGAATGTTTTAACCACTGTGCTTTAAAATACTGTTATGATCAGAAATTAATGATTTGTACATCAATGGGTGCTATTACTAATCTAAATATTTGGTTGCATTTGACTATGCCTCATTCTGACTATCTATGGAACACTCCACATATTAGAAACTTAAACCTCCCATGCTGGCTCCATTTTCTATCTGCTGTCCCTTTCCAGGATGGGATCACAAGCCTATTTATCTAATGTGGAGTCCCTCTGTGAACTAGCTGAAGCCAGCCATCAAAGACCCAACCATTATGTCCTGTCTTGAGCTCCAAAAAAGAAGTAATCTGACTGGTTGGGGATGCTGAAAGTTGTAGTCCAGTACAGGAAGATAATAAATCAGTCCAACAAAAGAATGCCCACTCTTTTTTCACAGTAGGGTAAAAAATCTGTTCTCCAAACCTTTTTGTCTTTTTCAGATCCATCTGTAAGCAGCACTCCCTTTGCTTGCATGTGCCTATAAAGCACTCTTTGTAATGCAGACATATCACACTTAATAACATATTCTACCTGTTTGGAAGAGAGAAGGCACATGGATTCATTAAAGTGCAAACTGTTTTTATACTGCATGGAATCCAACATTATGCTGGTGGTTGACATTTGGGGCTTCTTCAAATTTTTGATATATTTAAGCAGCTCCTTTAAAATTGATTTGGTTAGGGATGTAGCTTTGTTGTAGAGAACAGTGCAATACCGCATACAAATACATAAGGGGTAGTTTGTCACATGACAACATCATGAAGTATGTTTTGGTATTCTGATATATAGTAATGTCCTTTAATGTCTATGGTCAAAGAGATCTAAAATTTTGGAGGGGTGTCGTTATACGTATCAGATGCTTCTGACTTCTCCATCTTAAATCTCTTATGAAAATATAGATCATTAAGCCAATAAAGTCTTCCTCTACTTCTTGCAGATGTATACAGAAAAGCAGGAATGCATTTGTTGAAAATGAGACGTCAAACATTTATCGGCAGAACCCTGACTCTTTTGGTGCCACTATTAACTGGATTCTATGTAGACACTTGCCAGCAAAAAAGCCCCAACCTTGCTGGCAGAGAAATCAAATGCACACGAAGGGGCTGCTCACCTCTGACATCCTTAGCAGCAATCTTTTTGTGTGTCCCCCCCCCCCGCCTACTTACACAAAGACCAGAACCAACAATCCATCTAGCCTGGCAATATTCTTCATCCTTCCAGATCCAGGTCCTTCTCAGCACTGCTATTCTAAGCCTTTTTTAAAATGGGCATTGAGTAGTAATGAACACCAACTCTTCTATTAAGTCATGTGCCTTCTTGAATATCACATCCTAAGCAACCAGACACTTTTCCTGACCAACAGAATCTTTTCTAAGAAAATGAAATGGCAGCTATCAGATTCCAAAGGGATCAACAATGATAAGACACTATTTCCATGAGCCAAACAGATTCCAGAAAGAATTTGGAATAGTCTCTGGTGTATATAATTACCTTTTCAGGTAGCTGCGCTTCTACTTCCTTCTTTAATCTTCTCAGTAGGAAGGGGCGCAAAACTTTGTGCAAACGACGGATAATTAGAATAGTTTCTTCCTCATTCAAATCCACCTGTAATCAAAACACACACAAATTCAAGGAAACACCAATATTTAAAATATCTTTCTCCAGTAACAATAGAAAACTATAGGAATACTTTTAACATGCTGAATAAGAGAAAAATCTATCATTATAGATCCACACTTATAAAAAACAAAATATTATTTCTTTGATTCCTCTCCAGCTTTCTAAACTCAACATATTGCCTACAACAATGAATGACCAATTAATTTCTGGGAGAGGTTGTGTCAAGCCAGATTAGAACTATGGGCTAATATGAGTAAGAAGTGCCTAATGTACCAGCAAACATCTCCATCTGATATAGCTGGCTTTGGTTGGCTTTACTGGGACCAGGTAGAATACAGATATGATAAACAAATAGATCCTACCCATAATTCATTTAGCATTCTAGGTGAAACATAAACTTGAGTTTGTATCTGAGAAAGTATTGAAGTCAAATATAAGGAACATTTTATTTGAGTAGAATCCATGCTTAACACTGAAAAAAAATGATTAAAATATTTAGTTTATGTAGCTGCTTTGGGTAACTATGGTAGCACAACCAGGTGAGAACATCCAATCTTGTTAACAGTAATGTTAAAATTCTTTAAATTTAAATTGTCTGAATTCAGACAATTCAAGTACATTTGATCCTTTAAGAGAGGGTAATCTTCTCACAAAAAAATCAACAATCTGTTCAGAAACAAAACTCTTAAAAAAAAAAAACCTCAATCATAAAATCCCAAGATTTGGGCAATGCTATACTTTACTACTATAATCAGATTATTTGGAGTTATGCACATAGGTTATTATGGTACACTGAGGAATCCACCACAAAGAGTAAGCAAAATCTGTTAAGTGGAACAGACAACCTTGCACACAAGAGAGTGAAATGTCTGAGGTAGACTGCCATTGTTCAGACAGAACCCACTGGAGGGTTGTGCAGAGCTTCACAAGGCCTTGACTGAAGAACAGAATTAGATGTTTCTTTCAGCACTTACCTTTTCTCCAGTCATGGCAAACGGAGCATTAAACCACTGTTCAAATGTGCTACAACTCTTGAAGATAGTTGGAAGGAGGAAATTGAGCAGAGCCCATAATTCTGGTAGCTTATTTTGTAGTGGAGTTCCTGTCAGCAGCAAACGACGAGGGGCTACGTAGTGTGTATTCAGAACCTGGGTTAGCTTGCAATGGTGATTCTTCATCCGGTGACCTTCATCAACAATCATGTACTTCCAACGAATCTGACAATACCAGTTGGCAGCTGTAAGGATTTGCCTGAATTCCAGAATATAAGCTTCTTCCCCCAGGACATATTCTCATTTAAAGACATAGACTATTGAGTTAGGTTGCTACTGATTTTGGCTTTAAAATGTTATTAAGTAAACTATATATTCTGAGAGGAGTGAAATAGGAATCCTCAACTTGCCATTTAATTTCTATGTTCTGTATCACAGATGCTACCACAAATATTAAACAAGGAAAAATAAAATCATCTCATTTATACAGACTATAGCGAAACACTATTTTTAGAATAACTCATTTAACTCAAACTCATAAAGATTATTCATTTATTATTTGGTAGATTTGGGGACTGGCAAACAACCACAGTTCCACAGTTTGCCAAAACTAGGCTTAGTTGAGAGGTCACATGATCCTTGAATTTAATCACAGTCATGAAATTGTGAATCAGTTATTACAAACCAATCTTTGAAAAATTGTTGGAATGCTGCTAAACAACCTGCAGAAAATCAGCAGACGCACCCCCAACACACACATTCACATATTCCACCCACTTCCTGCCTCCTCCCACCCCCAAACTGGTAATAGCCTGAAGTAAAATAAAATCTGCTTGATTCCTGATGATTAGACAAACATGCCCATGTTATTCTCTTGGTAACAACATGGAATTGATTTGCCATTGATCTCTTTCAGGATGTTTTCACAACTTCACAGGCTAAACTTTAAGCACTCAAAGTACATATAAAATATATTGACATTTAGGACTGGGGCACAAATCATGCTTCCATGTGTAACCCATAGACAATGTATATTAATCTGTTTTCTTATTGCTGGCTGTCATCGTTCTATGATTGTATATTTATATATTTATGTATTTTTCTGTTGTTCTAAATCAATGTTTGTCAAAATTTTGCAACTCCCCCCCCCACCCCCGCAGTCAGCATGGGAGTTTAGGTCCACATATCTTAAACTTGCCAAGTTTGAAAAACACTGTTCTAAATCAATTTCTTCTCAGTTGCCTTTTAAGAAAAAAATATATAAATAGAACCCCATAAATAAAAGAATATAGGACCAGGGAAATCTCACTTTTGCAAGAATGTGTTTATCTTTGATGATATATTCATATGTAGTAAGCAAAACATTAAACTTTCCACTTCGAAGCTGAGGTACAAATGCCCGTCTTGCAGCTGGAGAGCCCTAAAAAAAGCACACACACAAACATCTAAACATATGTTTTGACATTTAATCTATGCTCTTTATTGCATGTATGACCATGAAATGAATTGATCGATCTACTTTATAAACTTTCCACACGACAGGTAAACAAATCAGTAGCCCAGAGAAGGGCAAGGAATTAAACTTCACAGAGGTTTTTGTAGATGACCAGGCTGAGCACGAGGGAGGGGTCAAACGAACTCTAAGTCATGAATCCCTGAGCAACCGCAAGAGATCTAAGTCTAGCGCACTCTGAATGCCTCTCTTATCTTCAGCACATTTCCCTTAACGACCAGTTGGCCCGATTCTTGTAAAGAGATTAAGCTTGAATTAAATATTTATACTCATTTGAACTGCCTGAATCTTGTAATTTCCTGGGCACTTGACAATTTTGGAAAGAGGAATAAGCTTTGTGGGGCTGGCTAAACAGTTTGAGAAACAGAAACATGAAAAATAAAAAAAGAATGGAAAATCTGAGGAGAAAAGGGAAGCAGAGATCAGGAAATAAAAAGCTGATTGGAGGTGGAAGATCTGATGAAGATATTCAGCCCTTACACAGGGGTGATACAGCAATGAGATACTTTTATCCATTACATCCAAGGACAGAGGATAGCATTAAAAACTTCAGATCATGAAAGAGTGTATGAAAATATCAATTTTTATACTTACCTTATATGAGACTTTAACCACAGAAGGAGCCCACTTATCAAATTCATAGGCCCAATTTGATAGAGTTCTAAACAGAAAAGAGTGAAAATTCCATTTTATAAGTTATCTTCTCATTTCTTTCAAGAATTAAAAGTTAAATCTCATAACCATATGTTTAATGAATAAAAACTGCACCCAAATTTTATGTACTTATTTTAAATTAATAATTTATTTCAATAGAAGATGGAAAAAGATGAATATCAGTAAATAAATAAAAGGTTTACAATTATAAAACTTAAAACTCATTATTTAATTAATTAAGGTATACAACTAAGTTAATTATATCATTTTAAGAAATAACTAAAAACTCTATAAAGCTATAAACATAAAAGTTAATATTGGCTTCACCATTATTTGTCATTCTTCCAAAAAGAAGCAACTTTTTAGAAGTGTAACACAAACTTGTAGTCATATCTGCTGACTGATCAGATGAAACCTATCAGTGCCATACTTTTTTTCCATACAGCTGCTTTTATTTAACTAAATGAATTAAATTATTTCACTCCTACAAAATTAATGTACATTAAATAACTATATGAAACACAAATGATTAAGTTATTTAAAATCTTTGATTGCCAATTCTTGATAGTTAAAATCCTTATGGCATTTCAAGTAAAGCATTAGTTCAAAGGGTTTTTATTTCTCAAAGGTTTTACCCACCCCCTTTCTAACTGTGTCATTTAAAAAACAATAACACTTGAATGGGGCAGTCAAGTCAGGGGTAGGCTTCTCAACCAGTCAGTGAACACCACAATGTGTAATGCCTGAACCAAACTTGTAAATTTACTCATTTGTAATAAAAATACTCAGACATTTGTTGCTGTTATTGTTAAACTTTGTTTTCTTTTTATTGCCCGCTCTCTGGAACTGTTACTGCAGCACATCACATGCTGCTTTTGTTGCCCTGGATGTTTCAGTCACGTGTGCTTTATTTATTTTAAAGCTTTATTTATTTTTCCTATTAAATGGCATCCCACTAACACTTCAATCAGTACACAGTAGCAGTGCTTTTTCACAGATACAGAAGGTTCAAAGTTGCCCACCTGTCTTCGAGGTATACTTACGACAGAGGTACTATAATGAGGAAGGGTCCGTTGATTCGTTTGTGCTCCATGAGGTATGTAATTAAAGCAATGGTCTGGATTGTCTTACCCAGGCCCATTTCGTCGGCCAGGATACCATTGAGATTATTATTGTACAGTGATACCAGCCACTCTAAACCTTTGATCTGTGGGCAGGAAAAAGAAACACAAAAGACATTACAGGGCCTACAGAGAGAAAATTGTGGTCTTGTTCTACAGAGCAGCTCAAAATACTGATTTCCACATCCAGGCAAAGCCAAGCGGTAAGGACGTACTCTCTGACTCTTACCTGATACTGTTTGAGGACACCATTCACCATGAGGGATGACTGTTTGTCTACCCTTTCAGTGACTGCATGAGCCACAGCATAGTAAGACTGCAACCCCCTTGCCAGGGCTTGAGACACACCATACTCGTCATCAACATCTTGCTTGGCGTTCCTATGAAAAGGTTTCAAGGGAATGAGAAAGGTAGAACAGGAGTGTTAACCTTACTGGCAGTACAACTGCTATCTTAGGGGAATTCAAAGGAGATTACCGTAATTCTTGCTAGGTGTGGGGGAGCAGAAACCCTCCCCCCACAAGAATTGACTTATCTTTTGGGGTTTGTGTATGTATGTTCTTTTTTGGGAAATACTTACAGTTTGAAAAAAACACTTGACAAAACATCCCTCCTTGCTACTATTTATTTTAGGGGCAGAGCTGTGGAGGTTTACATTCTCTAGTTTAGTTCTGAGGCTTCACTTTCTTAGAAAAATTCTGTTTGGGCTTTTGGACAACTGGGAGCTCAGACCTGCTCTGGATTCATCGTCTCCTGTTTGGAATGGATAGGACTAAAGTTCTAGCTTTTGGAAAGGCAAAGGGGTGCCAATAACATAATGGGGAATGCAAAAGCTAAATTCTGTATCACACTATTGATTCTTTCTTTCAGGATCATTCAAGAATCTGTTTCCCTTCTGGGTGATTGATTGGAATCTCCAGTGAAGTTGCCTGGCTCCAGGCTGATTGTGCCTGGAACTTCTGTGTAATACCTAAAGCCAGGAATATTTCCCATCACTGTCTACTAGAGTCTTCCTTCCTTCCTTTTTGCAGAAAGGCCTGGGGAAGAACCAGAGAATTCAGATGGTCTTGGTGGGAGCTGCTCTACTTCTAGGAAGCAAAGCTTGGTCCTTGTTGCTAGGCGGCACATGTTCTCCTTATGGTAACCATGGAACCATTAAAGAGTGGCAGCCAGAATGGAATTTTTTTTCCTTGTTCTCTTCAAGCCTTCCCAAATTAACAATGCTTTATTATGCATAATTACATAATTGTTTTTATTTATTATTGGTTGCTAAGGAGGGTTGCTATCAGGAGAAAGAAGGCGTCTATAATCAGGAACAGCTCTAATTTCAGAACCTAGGATCCATAGCAGCATCTATTTCTGCATTAATATGAAGATAAAGAAGAAGAGCAATGCCTGGGGTAGTGCCTTTTTTAACTGCTACCCTACTACAGTACTAGAGTAACTATGCAATTTGGCTTAGCCATTTTGCTACTCTTTTGCAACATAGAATCAAAGAGGGGGCTAGATAAGCTACCTTATCTCTTTCTTTTTCTGCCATTTTGTATTTTGCCGGGCTGTAATATATAATATAATATAATTCAAGATGGACAGTATTTAATATTTATTTGCTACGTACAGTATATGTAGGGATGTGAGTCTATGCATATGTTGTTCATAGTATGTTTAGGTGTGCGTCATGTATGTGTTTCACTTTGAGAGCGGGCAACTAAATTTCATTTTTGATGTGTGCCGTTGTGCCCCCAGTAAAAAAAAAATGACAATGAAGGTTATCTTATCTTATCTTATCTAATCCCCTAGGGCAGAGGTCCCCAACCTTTTGGGCACCAGGGACTGGTTCCGTGGAGAGAGGTTTTTCCATGGACAGGAGGGTGCGTGGTTTTGTGTGCTGCCTGCATCCAGTGAATGGGCTTTGCTTGTTTATGCAGACCGACTGCTGGCATGCTGTGGCCCAGTAGTGGCCACGGGCTGGGGGTTGGGGACCCCTGCCCTAGGGACTCTTCCCCCTAGGGAACCAAAGGGAAGACAAACCCCCCCAAGGGGCTTCCAATTTTATTCTTCCCAAGGCAGAAAATGGGTCTTTTCCAGTGTGAGCTGCCCTCCTTCACTTAGGAGAGATGTTCCATATGCATCCACCTTCCTTTTTCACCTCTATTTAAAGAAAATGCCAAAAGAAGCAGCTGATAGAAAAACACCATATGAGTCTTACTCAATAATGTGCCTTGCATCCACTTCTGATACATCATCACTGTCTGGATCTGGAATCTTTTTCTTCTCCTCTACAGGCAGAGCAGACTGAGCAGGCTGAGGTTGTTCTTCTTCTTCCTCCTGCCACAAACCAAAGCAACTTAATGTAACTTACAATATCTTGGCACTGAAGGATCACCCCATTGGTTCTGATCATTTGCCCTCTCCACCCGGTCCCCTCAAGATGTTAGCAGCAGCAGCAGCAACAACAACAACAAAAAAAAGGGGGGGGCTGCAGGGCTATCCATTCCCTTTAAATTTTTCTTTTTAAGCTGCCTGTTATAAGAATTTTCTAACATTTGGTCCCTGGATATACATGTTTTCTTCTTTCCACATCATCTTTTGTGGCATTTTTAGACAGAAAACCTGCAAAAATAGGAACCATCCAATTGTAAGTTACCGGTATCTCAAAAAAATTCTGAGAGTTTTTGGATGAAGATTGGGGTAAAAACTGAGAACAGTTCAAATCACTTCAGTTCCTCACTATGCAACCATTAACCAAATCAAAGGGGAAACGCTTTACATAAACAATAATAAAGCATTAAATGACTGCATTAGAAGCAATATAGTCTTAATTAAGAAATCAGACTGCAGAAAGATTTATACCATTATATTCTCACAGAAAAGGATGTATCTTAAAAAAAAAAATTGTGTGTGTGTGTCTATCTTTTGTGATTAGAGATACAGATAGACAATCAATACAGGCTCTCTGCACTGTTTTTGCTTAAAGGTTCAGCTATGTTTACTAGAATGTTGTTTCTCCTTTACTCATTTCCCATGTGTAACTGCTCACATGCATCTCCACTTATAATGGTCCAATGCAAGGAGAAGAATTACTCACTGGAGATACAGTTTAATTTTGCTGGACTGATTTATACTGTACTGAAGTGAAAACAGCAAAATTTAATGGGAAATAGGAACCGTTAATTAAGTTCTGTTTTCCTGATGATAAGACAAGATGACAAGAAGGCCCTATCTGAAAATAAGTAAGATTAGATAAAATACATCAAATGGTTCTTAACAAAATTCTTTTTAATGCAGGATAAAAGATGCTTCAAATATAGCACATATGTCTGATTTTGATCTAAAACAGATCAAATGGATCAACAGAACATTCCTCCTCACCTCTTCTTCCTCCTCTGATCCACTTTCTTCGCTGTCAGATCTTGGTGCTACTTCATATCTATTTAAATAATTGTGAAATTGTGAATTACTATAGAGAAATACCTCTGATAAGCCAAGTCAGTTAGAATCACTCCTTCCTTCAGAATCATTGGGAAACTGGGAGAAAGATGAAGGAAGAAGGAAGGAAAAAGAAAGTCTCTCTCTCTCTCTCTCTCTCTCTCTCTGTTGTGGGGAAAATAGGAGGAGGAAGGAGATATAATTTGCTTCCTTGAGTTATTTATTATTTTTACAATAAAGGTGGGATTAAAAGACAGCAAAGTTTCAGTTCACAGTGTGCACATGGACAAATGTAGAACTGTATTATAGGAACACTTTCAAATAGTGTTTTGCAAAAAAAAACCCCACAGAAAATAAACTATTTCTGAACATTTCTGGCATTGTGGGAGAGGGGCGGGGGTGCTGCAAACAAACGGAGGTGGCGCTCAGCTTGAGGGAGCCCCACCATTGCCACTCCGGCCTAATGCCTAACAGGCAGTTTGGCTGCCCCCAAGCTGGGCGCCATGTCCGTTTCCCTGCTGCAACACTGCCTGCAATGCCAGAAGCCGCTCTGGCCTTGTCTACATGCCCCCCATGCCCCCTGCAATTGCAGGAACCAAGCCAGCCTTGCCGTTCACCTGTTGCCCCTTCCCACAACGTCAGAAGCCATGCCAGCCTTGCTCCTCCTCCCCTTTTGCGTTGGAGCTGACTGAGTTGCGAGCAAAGCTGTCTTTGTGAAGCCCCCTTGAGGTGCCCCTCCCTCCCTTTCTGTTCCCCCCAACACACTCTTACCTGTCTCCCCCCCAGTGGCCCCCGCAGCTTCTATTTCCGCCGCCATTCCCCCTCCCTTCAGTCCTGGTGACAGAGATCAACAAGGGCCCAAAACATGCGGAGCAGTCACAGTACTTTTTAAAAAAAACTTGCATCGCACGCTGCCCCCCCCCACAGCCCCTGCAATTGCCCATCGCCAATCACACACTGCCCCCGCAGCACCAAGGCTTCTGCCTGCCACCTGATTGCCTGGGGGTTATTTGTCCTGTGCAGCCAAAGGGCCAGGTCAAATGGTCTCTGGGCGAATGGGCAGGGACAAAGGGCGAGGTGTGGAGGGCCAGGGCTGTGGAGAATGGCCATGGAAGGGCCAGCGGAGGAGGAAAACTGACATTATGGGCTGAGATGGGTGGCTGGGGATGAAGGAGGCGCTGCCAAGGGTCTGTGCCTAAATGTCCTAAACCACCGTCGTCATGTGTTTGTGAGCTTCCTCTTCACTTGGAAAGTTTAAGAGCTCTTATTCATCCCCGAATTTGTCTAATCCCTTTTGAAAATCTAAAGTCTGGTAAACTGAAGTGCTAGCTTGCCTTGATAACAGGCTAGCTTGCTGAGACTCCAGACACAGAGTCCATTGCAACTTCAGCAAGTTCTCTAGCAACACATACAGGCTACAGTCTTCACAAGCTTGAGGGCACCTACCCCAGAGCATTGCTACGATTATTATTTTTTTTTAAAAATGCACAGAATAGACATATTGCATGTCACTTTTCTTGAGGAAAATATAACAATGAATTCTGCAAGCAACTTACCCAGGATTCATTTCTAACCAGGTATCCAGCTGTCCAGCCTTTGGGGCATCTGTGCCAGTAAGAATTTTCCCACTTTCAACATGAATCACTTTCACAGGGAGGTCACTCATTTGGCTGGTTTCATCTAAAGGCTGAAGAAATACAATAACATATTAAAAATGTATTTTTCACATAAAGTATGATTCTAAAATATCTCATCAGTAGAGAAATAATAATTGGTATAGATTGCAATATTTATTTAAATATTTATTTAATCTTTAATAAAACAAAGATGGAATCTTTTGATCTCCTCCTTGGTCAGAAATACCTAAATGGTTTCAATTAACTGCAATTTAAGTTGTTTAGTTCAAAAGAAATGACAAAAAGAAAAAGGAATCCTCAGAAACCATGACTGAATCTGAAAGGTTTATAACAGAACATTCAGAACACCTGCTAGGGTTTATTCATAAGTTGTTACCAAAATATGATTCAGAAGCAAAGATTAAATGATTAAATGGATGCACAATTTAAACAGGGCAATTGATATGCAACAGTGGGACTATCAGTGGAAAACAAATATCAAATTTACTATTAGGAGAAATTCATACTAGGCGAAAACAGATGCACAATATTTTTGTTGGCTTATTATACCAGTGTTGATTGCCAAAATAGATATTTCTTTAAAAACTGTTGCAAATGCAATAATCAGGTTGGATAATGTTTTCTTGCTTTTTGGCAATATCACAAAATTGAACAATTCTGGAAGATGTTTCATCATAGGATGCTCCTTCTGGAAAGGAACAGCTTTATACTTCGTTTCTTTCTGGAAATACACACAATTTCTTTCTTAGAAGAATGGCAGGTTACATTATGGGAGTATTAATGTCAAAGTAACTTTGTATTTAAAAAACAAGTCTGATCCTGAATTTAAATCAACCTAGAAACCATTTATTGATTATAATTCTGCATACAACATCAGGCTTTAAAATACCAGATTTTTTTGCCCATTCTATAGCAAATGTTTGCCTGGTTCATTATAATACAGCCAGATTTTCTGATCTTAGAGAGAAAATTCTATTATTGCTTATTCTGACTGATGTTTTTTTTTATAATATGGGCTGCCATATTAATTAATTTCTTTATTAATTAAAAGTTTTCTTAATTAATTAAAAACTGCAATACCCAAAAATAAGATTGTCAGTGGTTTTGTTATTACAAAATATTGACTGGATTTAATAATGATTTAAAAGTGCTCAATATATATTTTTATATACAGTATTACTGTCACTTTAATACAGCACTTTTATTATTTTAGCTTTTTTCTTGGCTATGTTTCCAAATATCTGTTAAAGTAATTTTTAAAAGAATAAAATGCATCTAGAAGAGGAAGCAGAGGGGAAAAATGGCATTGCTTAAGTGTAATTGTAAACCCAAAGGTGCTTTTTCCAAGAGGCAACTGGACTTTCTTGTTTTTCTTTGAAGATATTTTGCTTCTCATCCACAAAACTTCTTCAGCTCTGACTGGAAGGTGGGGAATGTCCTTGCAGACAGTTGGTCATTTGCATTATTTTAGAGAGTCGTTGAAGCCACCTGGAGATTTATTTGTGTTGTCAGGGTCACCTGAGTAGTACAAATGTGTGTGGAGCCTTCTTGACTGCAGGATGTTTTCTGTCCTGTGTCCTTTTGTTGTTGAAGACAGGCGCAGGCTGTTGGGGATGAGTCTGCAAATGGTTCCTTTAGTCTGCAATGTTTTCTGGAAATCTGTTCATATTCCTGCACCATTCGAAGGATGTTCATCCCAAAGTGCATAGCTAAATGTCTATGGAGATTCTCAGTCATCCAGATCATGGTCGTCCCAAAGGTGCTTTATCCCCGCCATCCAATCAGAGCTGAAAAGCTGATGAGAAGCGAAATGTCTTCAAAACAAAAAAAAAACAAGGAAGTCCAGTTGCCTCCTGAAAAAGCACCTTTGGGACAATCTTGACCTGGATGACTGAGAATCTCCATAGACATGTAACTGTGAACAAACAAACAAACAAACAAAAGGTAAGCCCTTTTTGTCCTCTGAAGCTGTCTCCAACTCCAAGGTTCTATTGGTAAAATTTGGGAGCAGAGTGCAAACCTTAATACATCTTTGTTAAGTGAGGAGTTATCATGATAATCAGTCATTTTTAGAACATGTCTTAAGTATTAAGAATACAACTTTAGCAGGGCAAACTAGATCCAGGAGAGTTCAGTAGAGCTTATGCCTATGAAGGTGGGAGACTAATACAGTTGCAATCTTATGAAAAAATGGACTTCCAGATGGACAGTTCCTAATATTGCTATATGAAATGTGGCTCTTCCATCTTTCCTTCCTTAAGATACTTTTTTTTACTGTCCATATGGGTTGGATAAAGCAATGGGACAGCAGCACAGGTTACACTAGATAAACACTAGACAACAGTGTTTGATCAAATAAAAATCTATCTTTAACATAGGACCAATACTTACCCATACAACTGAACAGACATTAAAAACACTGCCTGGCTAAGCTGGTACAGAGGGTACCCTATCACTTAAAAGTGGCTCATGACTTTCACTAACCATATCCAACCTGTAAGCCCTTAAAAAACAGATTAATCGGATTAACAATTGACTGCCTCAGAAATGTTCCTACGGTAGTTAAGTGTATTATGGGTTCTGTTCCAATCAGTGTGTTTATTTGCATCTATAGATATTTGCAAGCAGGTGCAAATGTTCTTTTCTACCTTAGACTTTTTATACCACCTTTGTTCCAGGAATTCACAGTGGCATCCACAGCCCTCTTTCCAGTTTTCCCCCCCCCATAATAACTCTTGTGAAGTAGGCTAGATTAAGAGAGAATGAGTGGCCCAAACTCACACATTGAATACCACCTTCCCTCTATCTGGCAATGTGTAACTGGGAAGTCCTATTTGTTAAAGCCACTATTTGTGCTTATAATGCTGATGAGTTGATGAAGCATCACAGTTTTTGTCAGAATACAGTAATTTCTAACTGACAGGATATTCATGATAGAAACTGGACTAGAAAATATGTATTCCTATGAGAAACCTTTAGGAGAATCCACCAATGGGTGAAACTTTGATCCACCAATTGCAGCCTCTAAAACAATTTTCAACACCAGCTGCTTGCATCAGTGCATTCCAATTGCTAGTCCAAATAAAAGCAGTTTCCCAACCATAAGAAAGCAAGTACTCATTGTGCAATAAAATCCATACACATGTTTATAGCCACAATTAAATTGGTTCGGGGGGGGGGATCTTACTTCACCATCGGGTCCAATTGCTGGGGTCTGTCCTTCCGCAACCTCAGCCTTCTAAAAGAAATGAAGATCAATGGAGAGAAGTATTTTAAAACAGAGAAGTATCTGAAAGGCATTTAGGTTACTTTTTCCAGTTTTAATGCACAAAGAACCAACATTTTCATTCTAACATTAATTTAGATATTTGGACTTCTATATCATAAATGTAGAGAGGTTTATTTAAATATATTATTTTCATTTTGAAGTGCTCTGGTTCAGTTTTCTAATAAACTTTGGAGGCGGGCAATGCAGCATCGGGTGACACCACAGTTTAATGACTTCTCAAATAAAAATATAAGAGGTATCATTAAACATGGCACAAATCTCATGGGAACCGAATTTTGCATGAAATGACTCTGTTTTCTCGTATGAGATCTCAAGACAATTTCAGCCCCTGGAAGACTGACATGGGACACATCTCAAATCAAAGGTTTACGCAGGTTGATTTGACTCATTTACCTTCTTTTTCTTCTTCTTCTTTTTCTCCTTTGCCACCTGTGCAGCCTTGTGCTGTCTCACCAGTTCTGTGAGGTTGGCCACATATTCATCTGTCTGCTGAAGCAGGTAGGCTAAGCGTTTATCTTTCTTTTGATCAATAAGCTTTCGGTACCCTTCTTCATCCTCAGCCTGTAAAATACACAGACTCAAGCTATAATTTTTTAAAATTATACTGGGACCATTCATGTAAATGATCAGTCAGATTCATTCTATGCAGGGAAATGAAAAAGCCATACCATCAACCGGCGCATTCTCTCCTTCTCAATTCTCTCGTTCTCCTTCTTTTGTTCTCGCTCAGTATTCGCATGATAGGTGGCCACAGCCTTTGTCAGCTTCTGAATCTTGCCGGTGACTGATCGATGGTATTCTTTGAAATCCTTGGCATGCTGGAGAATGCTGTTGAGATACTCCTAAAAAAAAAGAACAGTAATAGAAAATGGCTTAATGAATGAGCCATAAATGGGTTAGGGCAGTATTTCTCAACCTCAGCAACTTTTAAGCTGTGTGGCTTTCAACTCCCATAATTCCACAGCCATCATGGGTGACTGGGGAATTTTGGGAACAAGTCCACACAGTTTAAAATTGCTGAGATTACACTGGGTTAGAGCTTGTTTGTATCACAAGCATGTATCAATAATTACACATAAGCTTCATGAAGGTGTTAAAACCTGATTATACTGTAGGTCAGCAGTTGCCAACATTCTGAAAAACTGTTGCAAAATGTTATCAGCTCCAGGGGTCAAGACTAGCTTCAGGGCATCCAAAAGGAATCTTTGTGTTTGTTTCTGCTTTCTTTCTGGCTGATTTCCAGAATTTTGGAACTTTCAGACATATGTAGCTCAAGTAGAGGGGACCTTCAGAGGTCCAATATGCAGCAAACTAGCTAGATTCTACTATGAGAAGCAACTCTGGCAAAGGAAGATCTTGCATAAATGGAATATGGATTAAACAAAAACTATGTGTAATAAATCAAGTGCTGTCTGTAACTGATCAGGGCTTAGCCCTTTGCTTCCTGCTCATCACTTGCAGATTATGGAGAAACAAGGCAGTTCTCTTCATATTTATTGCCAAGCGCAAGCTTGATGAATACAACTTTTATTGTTATTTTTTAAAATGTTATCCATTTATTGTATCTGTTAATGAGATCAGATGAGACTGCAACTCATTCTTCTTCAGCTTCTTTGTGAAGTAGGAAGTCTTAGCTCTGTCAGAAAACTCCTTTCATCATTTATCATCTCTATATTTGGATTGAGACTACAACACCATCATCTACTTGATGCCTCAACACTCCAAGCAAAGAGCAGAGGTTCCTAGCATGAATGGAATGGAATGCTATGCTCTCTCCTTGCTTTGTGGCCACTTCCCAAACATCATCCTCTCGATGCTGTGTTAGCAGCTATCATTTTAGAACAGCGGAAGTCTTTTCTACATTTCACTCTGAAGCAAGGGGAACAAAACAGTAAGTTACAGTTTAAGAGAAAGGAAACCTACATAAAGCAGGCTAGATACATTAGATGGATCTATATTTTCTGAATGGTGGCCTCTCCAGTTCTCCCACAATCACCCTTCCTTTCCCTATGTTTCCTTATCTCTTCTCTTAACTTCTAATCTTTTCTTTCTTTCTCTATATGAGTTTTCCTCTGCTGACGGTTTTCTTGCTTACCTCTTTATTCAAAAATTTGGAAGGTGTTTCACTGGCCACAGCCTAAGGCACACTTAACTCATTCACGTTTGACAATGGTTAGCTACTGTCCAAATGTACATCTTCATAACCTTTATTTATTCCAACAAGCTAATAATAAATACAATGCATTGATTATTTATCCACTTTGGCATCCTATTACAGGTTGTTTAGCGACTGTTCAAAGTTACCGTGGCATTGAAAAAAATGACTTACAATTGGTCCTCACACTTACGACACCAACAACATCCTCACAGTCACATGAGCAAAATTTGGATGCTTAGCACCAGCCTGAATTTACAATGGTTGCAACATCCCAGGGTCATGCAATTGCCATTTGTGACCTTCCTAGCCAGCTTCCGACAAGCAAAGTCAATGAGGGAAGCCAGATTTGTTTAACAACTGCAAGGTATAGTACTTAACAATTGTAGTGACTCACTTAACAACTGCGGCAAAAAAGGTTGTAAAATCTGGCATGACTCACTTAACAACTGCCTTACTTAATCAATGGAAACTGTGGTCCCGACTGTGGTTGTAAGCTGAGACTATATGAATACGTGCCACTTTTTCAAATTAAAGTAGAAGCAATAGGTACCTGATGTTTTTGCCGGCGTTTTCTTTCTTGTTCAATCTTCTGCTGTTTTTCCAGCTTCTCAGTGATGCGAGCTTCCCGTAGGGATTGCCGTTTGCTACGCTTATATGCCTTAGCATTCAGTGCCGTTTCCAGGGCAGTATCTCTTCTCATACAGACCACGACTTCTTGTCGCAGCTGTGAATCAAAATTTTAAAAGAAAAGTAGATGCCAACTGAGAATAAAGTGGGTTCCAATCAAATGCTTCACTTTCTGTATATGTTGACTAAAACATTTTATGTTGTCTTTATGTATGTTGTGAAATATCGGAATACATGTTAAACTTTAAACATCTGTATACATAAGGATACATAAGCAATGAGAAATACTTCTGAAAAAGAGTTTACTATACCTGACCCATCTCTGAGAACAGTTTTTTTTCTACTGCTTTTCCATAATTTAAATAGTTTTATCTATCCTTATTTTTAAGAGTACTGAATTCTGCCTGGACAATAGAAGCAAAGAAAAACACAACACCCATAGAACTATCCTTCTGAAAAGTAGAACAAGAGTAAGTGTTGCCATGCAACATAAGTCAGAAATATAAAACTGATTCCAAAAATCCATGGAGAAGAGAGATTAACAAAAAGTAGCAATGTGCTGAAACAAGAACACGTCTCAGTTCCAATTCAGTCCCTAAAACAGCACCTAGACATTTATGTGAAACCTGGCATTCTTACTAAACTTGTTACGCTACCGCTATACTCTGGCTGAAAGAACATTTACAGTTAAATATTTTGTGTAATTTACTTTTCCTTTTACTTATTTGTTCTTCTGTTGTACACTACTCAGAGTCACATTATTTGTTTGAATTGGGTGTCTTACAAATCCAATAAAATAAATAAAAGAAGGCTGTTACAGAGAAACCAGCCAACCACTCCAGGATACAGAAGGACTAGACATGCTCTCTAGCTTGAGTTGCAAAGTGGCTTCTTTATCAAAAATTACTTCACTTCTGTCCTTGCCTCCTTGTTTTCTCTAGAGTCACGCTGCTGCAAAGATCTACTTGTGTCAAAATATACCAAAAGCTTAATGAACAAAATGAAAAACAAAACCCTGTTTGCCAGCAGAGCCACTGTGATTCTTTCAGGCATGCCGTTGTTTTCTATATTTGAAGTGCCTGTGAAATTACCTCACCCATTCAGTAGGGATCATTTCAGAGGGCTGAGGTGAAACAGGATGGTCCACTGGCATGTGAAACTGGAGCTCCACTGCAGCAGAAAATTCAGGATCACTCTGTTGCATGAGAACTATCCGCAAAGCCACTTGGCACTTATTTAGGTAAGCTCCATTAAGGAGAGGCGTTTCTATAAGAATTTTATTTAAAGGAAGCTACTCAAGCATAAGTCTCATTTTCTTACAATATATGCAAACTCTGGAGATGACTGATTTAATTTCAGTGTTCAAAGGTGTCCTGAGAAATAAAATTTCAGCAGTGTATCACCTACCTGTCTCTGGAAATTCAGCAATCGTAGGGCTTTAAGTTCAATGGTTGCTTTGGTTCGCAGGTCTCCAGCCAGGGACCCAGGAAGATTTTCAAGTTCTTGGATTCTATGAGCAATGCGAGCCTGTAAACTGCAGACAAGAGATTAAGACACCCAGTGAGCTTTAGCATGAAGGATTGTATACATCAAACAAAAAGATATCCAAGAAATCCAATGCTGATATGTGAAAGCACTTGTTCCCAATATGGTGCCTTAGGAATGATGGGAATTTTAATTCAAAGCATTTGAAGGGCACTGCTTTGAGAAGGTCACACTTAATGCCCAATAGTTAAAGGTAAGACAAGAGACACTAGTTCAGGACTTGGGGGTTCCTTGAATACTTGTGGGTTCCATGAAAGTGTAAGGATCTGCCTCAACTAGATCTCCCAAGAAAGCAGAACTCTTGAAACAGGCATTGTTTCAAAAGGAACTTTTATTGAGAGTTAGTGATAGCAGTAGAGCAAAGCAAGGTCTGAAGATTTCGTGTGTGAAAGATTACATCACAATGCCCATTCAAAACTCCTCTCCCCCAGTGTCCCAACAGTCAGTTTGAATTCCAGCCAATCCATAGGTGCTAAGATGTTTTGAGAGCCCGGCAATTTAGTACTCTCTCGGTTTCGTTTCCCAGTGGTCCCAGGCTCTGCTATCTGGAGTTAAGGCAGATGTTTTCAGACCACATTCCTTTCTCACGGAGGGAGGGCGACTCAAAGAGAAATCAAAACGAATACATCCTCCAGCAAGCAGCCCCCCTCCCACCAGAATAGCAGACCCTGAAAATGATTAAATAAACAGACAAAGCAGTAATAAAATGAAGCAGTAATAAAATGCCAGCAGGTAAAATAGAGGGGTCTGACATACGGCCCCCCTAATAGAACGACAAATCCACCTGGAAAACAGAAAGAGGGAAGAGGAAAAGAGGAATACAAATCCTGACAAATCAGGTTTGTCAGGATAATGAGCATGAAAACATTTAAGTAACCTAGGGGCTTTAACATGTTTCTTACAGACCCACTGGTTCTGCTAGGCAGGAAGATTTTTCCAGGCCATGAGATACTGAGTAGAGCTGTGATGTTTGCAGGAGTCTAAAATGTCTTTAATTTCAAAATGGTGCCCTCTACCTTGATAGGTGATGGAGGAGTAATGGCTGCAGGCACAAGTGTAGGTGTAATTTCAGGCTTCAGCAAACTACAATGGAAAACTGGGTGGATTTGGCATAGACTTTTGTTCTAATTCAACTGCAATTGGATTGATTATGTGTTTAATAGGAAAAGGATTGATGTATTTCGGTCCCAATTCGGCTGTAATGATTGCAAAAACTTGGTGGAAAGGTAAACTTTGTCCCCTATATGAAAAGGTTTTGGTTCTATTCGTTTCTTTATATAATATTTTATTAGTTTTCTACATTTACAATTCATAAGTGCTTAGTAAACAACGTGTTGTCTGGGTCCATTTGTTTTACTTAGTAATACACATTAAATTCCTAATCTCTACCCCGTTTTTCCAGCCATTGATAAAATACATCCCATATTTGAAAATATTCTGTGTCTTCTTTTTCTTTAATCTTCACTGTAAGTCTATCCATTTCTGCACAGTCCAGTACTTTCTTGATTATCTCTTCTTCAGATGGTGTTTCTTCATTTTTCCAATACTGAGCAAATACAATTCTTGCTGCTGTTAATACATGCAACATTAAATATTCACTTTCTTTATCATATTTTCCTGATAATATACCTAATAAAAATAGTTCTTTAAAATCTACAAGTTTTCTTAACATCTTTTCTAGCCAAATATATATTTTTGTCCAAAACGTTTTTGCTTTAGGGCACGTCCATCAAAGATGGTACTACGTGCCTGGTTTTTTATTGTACTTCCAACAGTTACTAGACATGTTTTTAAACATTTTTGCTAATCTCGCAGGTAGTAAGTGCCATCTATAAAACATTTTATATAAATTTTCTTTATTAGCAGTTGCCATTGTCAATTTATAATTTCTTCCCCAAAGATTTTGCCATTTTTCTAATTCTATATTGTGCCCAATTTTTTTTGCCCAAGTTACCAATGTTTCTTTCACTTGTTCATCTTCCATTTTTAAATTTAACAGAAAATTATACAGTTTCTTAATCAGCTTTTCATCTGAAGTCAACAGTATCTGATCAAACATTGTCTGGTCTTTATAAAAAACCATGTGTAAGGACCTACCCCACTTTGCATCTTAAGAAGACAGAACTCTTGGAATATTTCTTCCAATAGGCATCTTTATTAAGAGAAGATGGTTGCAGGCGTTCTAAACAGGACTTGGGGTGAAAGCTTTCCAACTCAAGATTTTAAAGGGGTCCCCCCTTTAGCCACCCCCATCACCCCCTTCTCCCAGAGACAGTCTCA